TCCAGGTTTGGTTTGAAGTTGCGTCACAACTTAGCGTGCTCAATGAAACGCTTGATATGTTGCATACTTTAACACCTATGTTAAGCTTCAAAGTGACGTAGGAATATTCGATATAGTGTTCTAAATGATCTGATCGAGTGTGTTATCGACAGAGTGTGTACACCTTCATCTCTATACATTACGCGTTCAGTTTGACCTGTGTTAAATTCATTCTTAATTTCTACTAGTTTTGGCCATTGATAATGGAAAACCATAAATATATTTTGAAGGTTGCACACATCTGTACGATTGCAGTTCAATTCATCGTTATGATAGACACATGTTTACGTGTCTTTTTTATGTAAAAGAAAAAGGGCCGATACTGCGTTGTCAAGTTGATTTCTTTTCTTATCGGCAAGTACGATGTTTCTCACTAAACTGAAGGGATAGGCATCTTAGGACCGGTTTGTTTGTTTGATTTATCATCCCGTAAACACACAGGGTCATTATGATGTGTAGTCTCCTTGTAACACCCAGTTGCTACCTCACTGAAGGACATGGGTTGGATCTCATGGTACTCTGTATTCTGTCCTGTTTGAACGGGTTCATTGTGGAGAAAATGAAATTAGAAAAAAATATTGAAAATTGAGCTAACAAATAAGAAAGTCAGTTTCAGGACTTTCGTATCACCCATGAAAAATTGGTAATCAGAGCCGTTAAATCGAACAATCTAAAACTACATAGATTTATATACTTATATTAATACATATTTATTGACGAGATACATTTCATACTTTTCTCTGACAATCAATGGAGCCGACCAATGGGTAGATCTTAGCTCGACAGGAATTTTAAAGGGAATCTGGGATATGTCTACTTTAGAAAGTCCAATAAACATGATATCAGATGAAAAATTATATTCGTTAGAATGTTTTTTATAATCAATATCTTAGTCAAAGTGAAAATTATCGAAATAGGGAAAAAGGAAAAGGAAAGGTTGATTATTTCCAGTGTCGGATGGGAAGAAATATTTTCTAAGATCATAGAAAAATGAAAACAAACTCGTATCAAATCGTACCACTGACTGGTTCAATTTGACACCTGAAATGTCTACTTCACCTGTCTCGTTGTCGTTGTTATATCGCAGTCGATTCGCAGACAGACATCTGGGGATGATAAATTGTTGTATCAGATTTCATAAAACACATGTAGCGTTGTCCGGCTAATTAACCCACGAGGGAGCTTGAAAGCCTGTCGATACCGTTGGGAAGACGTCTGTCATGTGTCTTATAGAAGCAAAAGCAAAGGTTAATAAAGAGAATGCGCTTGAAAAATGGAAAAACTGCGAAATTACTTTTGTCGTGTATTTAAATTGTGTTTCGTACAGGAAGAGACATTATGTTTAAAGGGGTTTACGGTCTCTAGCATCATAATTATGACGTCATTAAAAATATAATGGATTAATGAGACACATGCAGAGCACCTGCTTCCTCGGTATTTCTTTCACTACTCAAAGGAAAATGTATCTTTAATGAGCGATAATAGGCCATGCAAATGCATACCATTACAGGGACCGTTAAACCAGGACAGTTTAATGAGCATCTCTTAATGATTCGTTTTCAGGAAAATAGGCGATTGTAAATATTAAAGTACTGCAGATATACCATGACAGGCTTAAAGAGACGAAACTATGCATATCGACGTCGTTGTACACACTATGATACTAACTCTGATAGGCCTCAACGATTAAAATGACACACCTTAATTTTAATATTCTTGATATGCCTTAATGATTAAATTGACACTAGATATATTATTTGTAAAATTTAAAAAAAAAATGTCTTTATATGGACCTATGGATGCTACTGATGCTGATATGACAAAATTATATCAAGCATTAACGAGTTTATTCTAGATGTTTAATGAGAGTTCACTGATGATTAAGTACACACTGTTAATCTATATGGTCAGATAGAATATTCAAGTGAAAATTCTTTAGTAAAAATTCTAGTATAACAAAAATATCAACAGATTTCAACACAATGTTAATTTTAATTTCATTAAAACAAAGGTAAAATATGAGCAACAGTTTGCATGAAGACTTCCGAAAAGTGCCGAAACAAGATGAGGTGATCCGAAGCAATTCTACCTCCTAAACGACATCGGTCATATAAATATTGGTCAGTCCAAGTGAAACAGTAAATAAATAATTAATGTAAACTACTAGTGATATTACGTCATTAGAGGAAATAGTGTTGGTTGTCACGAAGGTATGCACAAGAGGGAGAGGGTGGGTGAGATGGGCGCGGGGAGGGGTGTTGAATAGATATACAAGACCGTAGACTGAGGGTGGTGGGTTGGAGAGGGGCAATTCATAGACAGAACACAATATCAGAGCTCAAAATTTTAAGTCGATAAGTAGATTCATTCACTCGCGTAAACAAAATGCATTTTGTTTGTTTTGTTATGATGACGGTAAGATGTAGCCTGCCATTACAGTGACTGAACTAGGTTTTCAACTGCTGTTGATAAAGCTGAAAACCCGTCCCCTTCCGAAACACTTAGTCCTATCGCTTGTAACAGGATTTGGGGTGTGTGTGTTAAAATGTTAATCATATACTCTGTTATCCCATGAATTTGCCCATGTTATATTTTTGCGTATATGTCACCAGTGTAATTTGGATCGTTTTTCATTTGAGCAATCAGAAATCGATTATGATGTCATAATATAGACAATGACATCACGCCATGAATTAAAAATTGCGCAACAACATGGTTGCCTCCGATTTTGAACGCCGCAATTGTTTACATGAAAACCTGAATATGTGAAGAAAAGTATCTTAAATTTGTTTTCATACAAAATGTAATTTTATGAAAATGTGATAACAGAACAAACAGACATCTAGGACTAATAATATCTCCATATGGAATGAAAACTCTTGATTATCAACGCATGTCCAAATTATCATATCACGGCAAATATCTCTTAAATATTTCTTAATATAACATATACATGTATTTCTGCTGATTATCACACAACCTGAACCCCGCATCCACCTTCTCCAGAAATATCCTATATATCCCCTCGCTCTTGCCATATTGGTCTATTTCTTTTCCTGAATATGTGGCATTTTTTCCTGTCCCCCTTGGAGGTCTTTGGTCGTTGATATTTTTTACGACATCACTCTGACCACCAGAAATGCCCACGAGGTGTAGTCTCATATAACTGACCACAAAATTGACTACGAGGTGTAGTCTCATATAACTGACCACAGAATTGACCACGAGGTGTAGTCTCATATAACTGACCACAAAATTGACCACGAGGTGTAGTCTCATATAACTGACCACAGAATTGACCACGAGGTGAAGTGTTCTATAACTGACCACAGAATTGACCACGAGGTGTAATCTCCTATAACTGACCATCAGGAAACTGACCGTCAGGAATGACCACGCAGTGTAGCCGACAATGATCCTCTGATTTGTTCCCTTGGGAATGCACGGGTTGCTACAATTCGTTAATAGCCGGTATTTGTTCCACGTTCACAAACGATGCACATTGTTTGATAAATCGTCACTTTCAGGTAATTATTCCCAAAGGAGGCAAAATTGAAGCCCGGGGTTAGATGTCCACTCATAATGTTTTTCCTTCAGAAATCTGCCTTGTTATATCGATTGGAAAGCCTTGTTAGTTGAGGTACGCCAGAGGAATCCCAGTGCGGAAGATATTGATGTTTTCTGTACTTTGAATAGATGTATTGGAGATAATGATGATGCATAAATGGATCCAAGAAAAATGACACAAAATCAGTCGCTGTAATGAATAATGGCGATAAATCTGGCGGCAAAAGAGCAGCGTGGATGTTGAGCTATCGCGCGAAGTATTACTCTCTGGGTCAGTCGTGACGTCATATCTGCTTAACCCGTCCATCAATCTATTCTTATCTCCTCTTCGTCCTCCTCCTCCTTCTCGTCCTCCTCCCCTTTCCCCTCCTCCTCCCCTCCTAATCCCGTCTTCATCCTCCTGCCCCAGCTCTTGCCCTCTCCTCCTTTTCCTCTCCACTCCTCCTCCTCCTCCTCTCCTCCTCCTCCCCTCCTCCTCCTCTCCTCCTCTTTTCTTCCTCCTCCTCTGCCTCCTCATCTGCCTTCTCCTCCTTCTCTCCTCCTCCCCCTCCATCTCCTACACTCCTCCTCCTTTGCCTCCTATCCTTTTCTCCTCCTCCCCTCCCCTCCTTTTCCCCTTCTTCTCCCCTCCTCCCCCTCCTTCTCCTCTGCCTCCTCCTCCTCCTCCTCCCCTCCTCCCCTCCCCCTTCCTCCCCTCCTCCTCTCCTTCTCTTCCTCTGCCTCCCCCCTCCTTCTCCTCTCCTCTTCCTCCTTCTCCTCTGCCTCCTCCTCCCCTCCTCCCCTCCCCCTCCTTCTCATCTCCTTCCCCCTGCTCCCCTTCTCCTCCTCTTCCTCCTCTCCTCCCCTACTCCCCCTCCTCCTCTGCCTCCTCCCCTCCTCTACTCCCCTCCCCTCCTCCTCCTTCTCCCCTCCTTCCCCCTGCTCCCCTCCTCCTCTTCCTCCTCCCCTCCCCTACTCCCCCTCCTCCTCCTCCTTCCACGGTAGGATTGTAGTATACTTTGTCTATAACTTGTTAAACATATTGAATTACATATTGCTACTAGTTCCCTATCAAATCAGTAAAAACGTGAAGAAGAACCAATCCTAACCTATCGACGTTCCATCTTCTGATATTTTTGAAATCCTGGTTTACATCGTTCTAATGAAATTATCGCCTTAATCCATTAACACATTATGTGTTAAACAGATCGATACAAACTGATCTCTGTACTTTTTGAGTCGTTATCTTGAAAACATACAAAATTGATTAATAGAAATCAAAGTAGAACCTGGACTGTAAGGATTGTTTTTTAAAATTCAAAGCCATCAACAGATTAAATAAATCCTAAAATACTATCGAGTATATTTTCTCTATATTTGTACTTCCGGTGCTCCTTATTACACTATCTGTAGTAATGGCGGACATTTTTGACGGACACAAACGTTAACTCAAACCTAGTAGCGTACATCTCTACTTTCTATAAACCATTTTGCTCTAGATGTATGCGGGTGTCAATTCGAACCTAGTAGGACATACTTTCACTTTCCATGAACTGTTTTGTTTAGATACATGTGCATGTCAACTCAAACCTACCAGAGTAGATACTTACTTTTAAATTACCGTTTTGTGAAGAAAAATGTTCGTTTCAATCCAGCTAGATTATTTTCTACCTTCAACGTACCGTTTTGTTTTGACACGTGTCAATATATTTTTCTACTTTTGAACCGTTACAATAAGCGTTAGCCGAGGAGATACCAACAGAGACGACAACAACGGAAGCTGAGGAGATACCAACAGAGACGACAACAACGGGAGCTGTGGAGATACCAACAGAGACGACAACAACGGGAGCTGAGGAGATACCAACAGAGACGACAACAACGGGAGCTGTGGAGATACCAACAGAGACGACAACAACGGAAGCTGTGGAGATAGATACCAACAGAGACGACAACAACGGAAGCTGTGGAGATACCAACAGAGACGACAACAACGGGAATTGTGGAGATACCAACAGAGACAACAACAACGGAAGCTGTGGAGATACCAACAGAGACGACAACAATGGGAATTGTGGAGATACCAACAGAGACAACAACAACGGAAGCTGTAGAGATACCAACGGAGACGACAACAACGGGAGCTGTGGAGTGACCAACAGAGACGACAACAACGGGAGCTGTGGAGATACTAAGAGAGACGATAACAACGGGAGCTGTGGAGTGACCAACAGAGACGACAACAACAGGAACTGTGTAGATAGCAACAGAGACGACAACAACGGGAGCTGTCGAGATACCAACAGAGACGACAACAACGGGAGCTGAGGAGATACCAACAGAGACGACAACAACGGGAGCTGTGGAGATACCAACGGAGACGACAACAACGGGAGCTGAGAAGATACCAATAGAGACGATAACGAGAGCTGAGGAGATACCAACAGAGACAACAACAAAGGGAGCTGAGGAGATACCAACAGAGAGGACAACAACGGGAGCTGAGGAGATACCAACGGAGACGACAACAACGGGAGCTGTGTAGATACCAACAGAGAGGACAACAACGGGAGCTGAGGAGATACCAACGGAGACGACAACAACGGGAGCTGAGGAGATACCAACAGAGACGACAACAACGGGAGCTGTGGAGATAACAACAGAGACGACAACAACGGGAGCTGAGGAGATACCAACGGAGACGACAACAACGGGAGCTGTGGAACAGAAAAGCCGAAGAGATATCAACTCCGTGTTAGGAAGAACCCTACATCGCGTGAAATAAGAAGTTAAGATCATCGTTTTAGAATAGCATATGATTACAAGCTTAGAAACATTTAAAGACGATATGCTGAAAGCATCCAGAGTCGTGTTACGGACGAAATGGACTACAGATTGATGTTAATGTTATCGTATATAACAAGACCGCGCGCGAAAGTAACAAATTACATTGTATATATTCATCACGTGACCGTCCTTACCAATTTTATCGATACACATATCATCTGTCATTTCTGACATGAAAAGAGAAAAAAATTGACAAAGAAGTGGAAAATTTATGTCTAAGAATCATACACGTTTGGCGAGATCAATATCAAAGTGGTTTATCTCGATATCGAAATACACGGAGACAGATCAGCTTCAAATGAACAAGAAATGCATTTTTACACAGCTTATTTAATGCTTTATGATTGTCTTTCCAAAAGGATATTTTAAAATCTAAACAATGCTCTTTTTTATTCCAGAATGCTGTCATATTTTTGAAAATTTCGAAGACTTGTTTTACAAAATATGTTTATTCAAGCTTGTTAGGCCGTCGCTAAGAGAACTTGATGAAAAATCATATGATCATTTATCACAATTCCGCGTTGTCCAGCCAAAAGGTCATGACGAAGATGTGGTTGATAAGACGCTTCTTCGAACACTCAATCAACAGGCGGTCAGTTCGGACAATGGCAGAATGAAGCATCGTGTTAGAGAGCTGGTCGTCCACATAGGTCCGATATTAATTGGTTTTGTATTGGTTTTCTTCCTTGCCGTGTCTTTTCTGCCTACATGCTTTATTAGTTGTTCATGCTTTGATGGACATAAGGCATTCGTGTAAATCGTCCTCAATAAGGATATTGACAGAACAGGTTTTTCATTTATATAGCGCCCCAATGAATTCAGGCGTTATCACACATATCATGACGGCACAATACCCTTTGAAGATTTGTCTTCCGGTACGACTGCTGCCAGGGGAATTCTCTGTTTGGACGTTCCTAAGATCTTGTTGATGTGTTGTCAGGACTGAGTCAATTAAGTTTATGTCCTTACATGCATTTCTAAACAGACCTTAATTTATTTTCTGGAAACACAACAAAAATGCATCGCAATATCGAAATATATCAAAACTTTACAGAAAATAGACAAATAAGTTTATGTGAGTGTCGAGACCAAGAAATTTTAATTACCAAATTTCATTTTTAATTGATTATCGCCATAGTTTATGGGGGGTGCCATAGTTTATTGGTGGGGGGGGGGGGGGGGAGATTTTGGGGCTATGCGTGTGAGGATTGGGTGCCATAATTGAGGATTGGGTACTATCGCCATAGTTTATTTTGGGGGGTGGGGGGGGAGGGGGGAGGGAGATTTTGGGGCTACGTGTGTGAGGATTGGGTACTATCGCCATAGTTTAAGGGGGGGATTGGGTACTATCGCCATAGGAGATTTTGGGCTACGTGTGTGAGGATTGGGTACTATCGTGTGTGAGGATTTTGGGTACTATCGCCATAGTTTTATTGGTGTGGGGGGGGGGGGGGAGATTGGGGCTACGTGTGTGAGGATTGGGTACTATCGCCATAGTTTATTGGGGGGGGGGGGAGGGGGGGGAGGAGGGAGATTTTGGGGCTTGGTGTGTGAGGATTGGGTACTATCGCCATAGTTTATTGGGGGGGAGGGAGATTTTGGGGCTACGCGTGTGAGGATTGGGTACTATCGCCATAGTTTATTGGGGGGGGGGGGGGGGGGATTTTGGGGCTTGGTGTGTGAGGATTGGGTACTATCGCCATAGTTTATTGGGGGGGGGGGAGATTTTGGGGCTACGCGTGTGAGGATTGGGTACTATCGCCATAGTTTATTTAGGGAGGGTGGGGGGAGGGGAGGAGGGAGATTTTGGGGCTACGCGTGTGAGGATTGGGTACTATCGCCATAGTTTAGGGGGGAGGGGAGGAGGGAGATTTTGGGGCTTGGTGTGTGAGGATTGGGTACTATCGCCATAGTTTATTGGTGGGGGGGGAGGAGGGAGATTTTGGGGCTACGCGTGTGAGGATTGGGTACTATCGCCATAATTAAGGGGGGGGGGGGGGGGGGGGGGGGGGAGATTTTGGGGCTTGGTGTGTGAGGATTGGGAGAGTTTTTGGGGCTTGGTGTGTGGGTGTGAGGATTGGGTGTGAGGATTGGGTACTATCGTCATAGTTTATTGGGGGGGGGGGAGATTTTGGGGCTACGCGTGTGAGGATTGGGTACTATCGCCATAGTTTATACGGGAGGATTGGGGGGGGGGGGGGGAGGAGGGGAGATTTTGGGGCTGCGTGTGTGAGGATTGGGTACTATCGCCATAGTTTATTGGGGGGAAAGGGGGGGAAGGGGGGGGGAGGAGGGAGATTTTGGGGCTTGGTGTGTGAGGATTGGGTACTATCGCCATAGTTTATTTCGCCATAGTTGGGGCTACGCGTGTGTGGATTGGGTACTATCGCCATAGATTATTGGGGGGGGGCGGGGAGGAGGGAGATTTTGGGGCTTGGTGTGTGAGGATTGGGTACTATCGCCATAGTTTATTGGGGGGGGGGAGGGGAGGAGGGAGATTTTGGGGGTGTGTGAGGATTGGGTACTATCGCCATAGGGGGGGGGGGGGGGGGAGGAGGAGATTTTGGGGCTTGGTGTGTGAGGATTGGGTACTATCGCCATAGTTTATTGGGGGGGGGAGGGGGGAGGAGGAAGGAGATTTTGGGGCTTGGTGTGTGAGGATTGGGTGCTATCGCCATAGTTTATTTGGGGGGGGGGGAGGAGGGAGATTTTGGGGTTACGCGTGTGAGGATTGGGAGCTATCGCCATAGTTTATTGGGGGGGGGGGGAGGAGGGAGATTTTGGGGCTTGGTGTGTGAGGATTGGGTACTATCGCCATAGTTTATTGGGGGGGAGGGAGATTTTGGGGCTACGCGTGTGAGGATTGGGTACTATCGCCATAGTTTATTTGGGGGGGGAGGGGGAGGGAGGAGGGAGATTTTGGGGCTGCGCGTGTCAGGATTGGGTACTATCGCCATAGTTTATTGGGGGGGGGGGGGGGGGGAGGAGGGAGATTTTGGGGCTTGGTGTGTGAGGATTGGGTACTATCGCCATAGTTTATTGGGGGGGGGGGGAGGAGGGAGATTTTGGGGCTTGGTGTGTGATGATTGGGTACTATCGCCATAGTTTATTTGGGGGGGGGATGGGGGGGGGAGGAGGGAGATTTTGGGGCTTGGGGGGAGGAGGGAGATTTTGGGGCTTGGTGTGTGATGATTGGGTACTATCGCCATAGTTTATTGGGGGGGGATGGGGGGGGAGGAGGGAGATTTTGGGGCTTGGTGTGTGATGATTGGGTACTATCGCCATAGTTTATCATGTTGATTTCAAACTGATGATATCTGACTACAGAAATAGAACTGAAATAAAGGTTACAACACTTCGACACATTTTACATATTAATGTCGGTATTAGTAACAGTCCTCCAGCATCATCAATCCTGGACAGAAATTGATTTTGTTTGTATTGTTATTATTGGGTTATTTTTCAGTGTTTCCCAATGATAAAAAGTCCTTGCCACGTATTCTAAATCTGTACATATATAATTACGTGCGTGATTTTCTGCAATATTATTATCCATATATTAATTGACTAATAGAAATCTAAGTGTAACCAAACAACATAGGAGAACACAAAAAACTACAAGTTATCAAAACAAAATAAAGTATGTAGAGCGGGTAAGAGGTTCCTGTCACGTGGTTTCTGTCATAAAACACGAGATATGTACCACATGTGTGCCTACAATGTACCACGTTATTCAATCTCACCACATGTGGTACACATCATGTTATACCACCTCACCACATGTGATACCCATAATCTTATACCACCTCACCACATGTGGTACCCATCACGTTATACCATGTCACAACATGTGGTACCCATCACATTATACAACCTCACCACATGTAGTACCCATCACGTTATACCACCTCACCACATATGGTACTCATCACGTTATACCACGTCACCACATGTGGTACCAATCACGTTATACCACCTCACCGCATGTGGTACCCATCACGTTATACCATGTCACCACATGTGGTACCCATCACGTTATACCATGTCACAACATGTGGTACCCATCACGTTATACCACCTCACCACATGTGGTACCCATCACATTATACAACCTTACCACATGTGGTACCCATCACGTTATACCATGCCACCACATGTGGTACCCATCACATTATACCACCTCACCATATGTGATACCTATCACGTTAAACCACGTCACCACATGTGGTACCCATCACATTATACCACCTCACCACATATGGTACCCATCACGTTATACCACCTCACCATATGTGGTACCCATCACGTTATACCATGCCACCACATGTGGTACCATCACGTTTTACCACCTCACCACATGTGATACCGGTACATTACGATATACTTACGTGACCACACATGATGTTTCTCGTTGTAGTATCCAATTTCTTTTCGTTGCCTATAGTACCCATGACAATGTCGTAACTCACACCAAATGCGGT